CACACACCCCCACACACACCCACACACCCCAGTTTTTGTTTTTTTATTTTTATTTTTATTTATTTTTGAGTCAGGGTCCCATGTTGCCTGGACTGGTCTTGAACTGGATTCGTAGCTAAAGATGACCTTGACCTATGACCCTCCTGCAGCCACCTCCCGAGTGCTGGGTTTGGCGGCATGCACCACCGGCACCTGCCTCCTGTTCTTCTTCTTTCTAAAAATCATTCTGGAAAATGGACACAGCTCCGTTGATGACGTGTGCCTGGAGGCAGACACAAAACTGTTTAAAACACTTCACTAAGTAAACAAGGAAACGGAAAACAGGTTGTCTTGGGGGCTGACTAGATGGCTCCCTCGGTGAAGGTGCTGGCCACTAAGCCTGAAGACCTGTTTTCCGTCTCTGGGGTCCATGTGGTGGGAGGAGAGAAAGGACTCCCACAAGTTGTTCTCTGACACGTGCACACACACACACACACACACACACACACACACACACTCCTCTACATACATAAATAAATAAATGTAATGATAACTGGATAACTGAAACTTGCCGGGTCTGGTGGTAAAAATAGCAAGACTCTATTTTGAAGTTCTAAATAGTGTACAGAACTCACTGCTCCTCACTGGGGTTTTCTAATGTTAACATATACATAACCGTTATGCAACAATTCAAACCGGGAAAATAGGATACTATAGTTTTCTCTAAACCGTGACCTCACTTGAGGTTTCCACTTGGTTTGCCAATGGACTTTGTCTGGCCCTGGGCCCGATGCAGGGCCCCACACTGTGCTTTACCACAAGACTTTCTAACCAAAGCAATTCTTTCATCTACTTTTGCCTTTTTTGTTTGTTTGGTTGGTTGGCTGGTTTCTTGAGACAGGGCTTCTCTGTGTAGCCCTGGCTATCCTGGAACCTGCTCTGTAGACCAGGTTGGCCTCTAACTCACAGAAACCCGCCTGCCTCTGCCTCCTGAGTGCCGGGATTAAAAGCGTGCACCACCACCACCACCCAGCTCACTTTTGCCTTTTTTAACTTGGCATTTTGGAGGGTCTGTGGTGACTTATAGTATCTTACAGAAATATACCTCCAATAGGGGCTGCAGAGGTGGCTCAGGACTTTGGAGCACTAGTTGCTCTTCTAGAGGACCCAGGTTCAATTCCAACCACCTACATGGAAGCTCACAACTGTCTGCAACTCCAGTTCCAGGGGACCCAAAGTGCTCTTACGACCTCCATGAGTACCAGGCATGAGCATGGTGCACAGACATACATGTAGGCAAAACACTCAGACACATAAAAAAGGAAAGAGAAAGAAAGACATACACCTGCATCGGTGTGTATGTCTCATTTTTTTTCTGACGATTTGACTGAGATTGTTTATTGAGATTCATTTCTATTATTAATGATGTATATGGTTGTTTTGTACGTCTGAGGGTATGTGTGCGCAAATGAGTACAGTTACCCTTGGAGTCCAGAAAGGGTGTCGGGTCTCCTGATCAGGAGTTGCCACGGTTGTGAGCCACCTGGCGTGAATGCTAGGAACCCAATTAGAGTCCTTTGCAGGCGCTTTGCACCCCTTAATCACTGAGCCTCTTAAGCTGCCCTCACCAGCCTGAGGTTATACATTTGTTGTTAGATCACGAAGTGACACTTCATTTTTCTCAGGAGCTATATGATGATATTCACGTTTTGTTTTGTGGTGTTCACCGTATCACTTGGCTGATAAGTGATGCCTGTTATGGTTTTTCACTGAAAATTGTTTTTTTTTTTCCCTTTGCAGTGAATGGGCCTTGTAGGGGACATGGTGAGTCTGGGGGCTCAGTCAGCTTTGATTTTAGGTGTATGACTGCGTTCCAACCCAAGCCAGGAGAGTTCACCATTGACTTGTAAAATGCTTTCTTGGAGAGAAGTAGTTGGTCTAAGACTGGATGTGTTTCTAAGTTCCTCCATGTTGTAGTTTGGGTTCTAAGGCTCCAACCAAGTTTCTGTGTGGAAGGTTTGCTCCCTGGCTTCCAGCACTCTCTAGACTGGGATTAAAACTTGGGGGAGTGGGCCATGGAACAGTAGGTCATTGGGGTCCTGGGGGAGTAGGACATTGAGCAATAGGTCAATGGGGTCCTACCCTTGAAGGGTATAGGGAGACCCCAGCCTCTTCCTCTCTCTTTCTGCTTCCTGCTGCCCTAACTGGAGCGGACGTCTCTAATACATGTTCTCTACTGCTCTATGTTCGGCCTCACCATAGGCCCAGGAGCACTGGGGTGAAGCATGGGCTGAACCCTCTTTTGGGGTCAGAGGGGAGGATGTTGAGACTAGGTCTTTCTTTGTAGCCCTGGCTGACCTGGATCCATGGTGATCGGTGATCCTCTTGTCTCTGCCCCAGAGTGCTGGCAATTCAGGACTGTGCCACCATGCCTGGCTTGGAAATCTCTAAACCGTGAGCCAAACCGAACCATTTCTGGTTGTGATCTGTTGATCTTAGGTGTTTGGGCTCCAGTCCACAGCTGTTTTAATTTGCATCTCTCTAGTGTGAGGGAAGCTGGGGAGAGTCTCATGTTTATTGATCACTTGCCTGTCTTTCTTAGGTGAATCACTGTTCTCTCCCTTCCTCTTCTTTTCCCCCCTGCTCCTTTTCCTCCCCTCTTTTTAAGATGGGGATTTTTGTTACTTTTCACATGAACGTGTAATAACTGTACATTCTCCTTTATCTCCTTATTGTGCTGGTTGTAACACTCAAGGCTTCATACACACCAGTCAGGTGCTCCATTGACCTTACCCCCTTCTTTTTTTAAACCGGGTCTCACTGGATGGCCTGGAACTCACAGAGATCCACCTGCCTCTGCCTCCCAAGTGCTGGATTTAAAAACCTGTACTACCATGCTCCGATAGATTAAGACTTACTTTGTGTGTGTGTGTGTGTGTGTGTGTGTGTGTGTGTGTGTGTGTGTGTGTGTGTGTTTCTCATAGGATAACTTCTGAGAGTCCGTCCTGTCCCAAGGAATTGAACTTGCGTCTCCAGGCTTGTTTGGTAAATACTTTTACCAGGTGAGTCATCTGACTGACCCCTCTATTGAGTTAGAAATGCCCCTCAAGTGGACCTTAGTGCATCCAGTCTTTACACAGCATGGACAAGTCAGGAGTGGATAACTGCACTGGGCAGTTTTCAGCCTGTGTTTCTCCCTAAGCCACTCCAGTTTCCTGAGTGGGTCCCCATTCAACTGTCCTATGTGCTGTTCTGTTTACAGAGGTTTGTGTTCTCCTCAAGGCCCATACAAGTATCCAAGTCCAGTCTTCCCTCATCATGCATAGCTTGCCCCATGGCAGTTACTTTGTATTCTGAGTGTGAGTGTGTGTGTGTGTGTGTGTGTGTGTGATGCTGTAAAGTCAGTGAGACCAGACACTGTTTCTGGAAGAGCCTTGCTGTACTATTGAAAATCACTTCTTCACAGGCGAATATCTAATCCTCCTTATAGATGAATTTCTAAATGGTCTTATACCTTATCTCCCCAACTCTGCAGATTCCAAATGTGCCGACTTCCTGTCTTTATTGCCTTGCTGTTCTGCCCTCTCATTGACTATCTCATTGGCCCAGCTACCTCACTTCCTTGCCACTGTCTGTACAGACCTCCAGGTCTCTATGGTTGGTACTGGGATTAAAGGCGTGTGTTACCACACTTGGCTCTGTTCCCTAGTATGGCCTTGAACACACAGAGACCCTGCCTGACTGACTTTGTTTACTTAAAATGGCTGGCCTTTCCCCCTGATCTCCAGGCAAGCTTTATTAAAGCACAAATAAAATCTCACCACATTTCAGCACACATAAAATATCCCTACACCTCCTTCTCTCAATCTATAGACAGTGTTGCAGATTCTTCCCATTGCGTTTCTTTCTTTCTTTTGGTTTTTTTTCGAGACAGGGTTTCTCTGTGTAGCTTTGTGCCTTTCCTGGAACTCACTTGGTAGCCCAGGCTGGCCTCGAACTCACAGAGATCAGCCTGGCTCCTCATTGTGTTTCTTCAGTCATCTTTGTGCACCTGTTTTTTGTTGAATGATGTCGTTAGCCCCTCAAAGAATTGTGTCTGGAGTTCTCATCTTCAACAATAAAGCTTTGATCGGGGTTAATGATTTAGTTGTTTGGGAAAGGCATCATGGCTCATGCTCAAAATCCCAACCATCTGGAAGCTGAGGCAGGAGGACTACTACAAGTTACAGACCAGTCTGTACACAGGGGGAGACTCTGTCTTTTTTTTTTTAAAGATTTATTTATTATTTATTTATTTATTTATTATGAACACAGAAGAGGGCGCCAGATCTCATTTCAGATGGTTGTGAGCCACCATGTGGGTGCTGGGAATTGAACTCAGGACCTCTGGAAGAGCAGTCGGTGCTCTTAACCTCTGAGCCATCTCTCCAGCCCGAGACCCTGTCTTTTACAAAAAGGAATAAGTCATATTTTCTGAACATTCTTGAGTGGCACAGGGTGATTTTTAGCTTTTTAAGTCGGAAAGGCCACTAAAGCCCAGCTTGCCCCTTGGGGTGTGCTTGAGGTGAGTCCTTGGTTTGGCCTCTCTAACACAATCACCAAGTTGAGTCGTAATGGAAGAACTCTGGCTCTACCCTTTTTCACAATTACAGTGTTAAACCTAATGAAGACTACATTAAGTCTGGAGATAGTGCAATCTATACTTTGCAAGTTCAAGCACAGTCTAGATTACGAGTAGTGAGCTTCAAGCCAGGTCAGGCTACATGGGAGACCCTGCCTCAAATATTTCCTCACTTTTAAAAGACAAGAATGCCACAATGTCCCTTCTGACATTTGATTTAACTGTGTGTGTGTGTGTGTGTGTGTGTGTGTGTGTGTGTGTGTGTGTGTGTACAGACACATGTGTACACGTGCTCTTTATTCAGACATGCATGGCAGAGATAGAGCTGGGAGATGACTACATCTGTAAATATAGCAAACATAGATTCATTAATGTGCTGCTTCTGCCTGGGATCCCTCAGACAGCAGCACTTGTACAATAGAGAAACAAAGGAAGGGTCTGGACTGCTTGAGGAAAACGATGCCTTTTAGCAGAGACTCAACTGCTTTTGTGGGTTGCTGATGGTTCTCTTCAACTGAACTGTGATGAATATAAATCTGTGATGTCTAATCCCAGACGGCAGGATCTGATGTTTGAAATAAATCAGTCTTTCTTACTTTTTACTTTTTGTTCTTTTCTTTTTGATTCAAAATTATTTCAAGCCTATGAAAAAAATTTCAAGACTATTATTAAAATTCTGTCATGTGCCTGTCTTCCAAATTCACCAATTAATACCAATTTGTCTCAGTGACTCTATTTCCTTGTCCCAGTCCATATAATGAACACACACACACACACACACACACACACACACACACACACACACACACTCCTACTTAATTTATAAATTAGTTGCAGATTCCATACCCTTTACCTATAAATATTTAAGGGTTATATCCTTAAAATAGAGGAATATTCTTTTTACATATTCAGTTGCATTATCAAGTTCAAACACATAGGATTGCAGCAGTATATATTATACTTACATTTTTATTTCTACCCCAATAATAATTTTTGACCCCCTTCCGTCTAAATGAAACTCAGGACTGACCATTCCTTTAAAAGGGGACATTCTGTAGATAAGCTCTATCTTCTACCACATTACATATCAGTGGGTGTGTACACGCTCATGTGAACGTGGTGCACTTGTGTGTACATGCCTGGAGGCCAGAGTTTGACATCAGGTGTTTCCCTCCTCATTGTTTCTTTTCTTTCTTTCTTTCTTTTTTTTGAAGCAGAGTCTCTCCCTGAATATGAGGCTCACTGGTTCGGCAAGACTAGTTAGTGCCCTCAGCCTAGCTTTTCACTTTACCACTGTGTACGTGTGTGTATTCCAGTGTGTGTGTGTGAGGGGGGAACAATGTGGGTGTGTATGCCAAAGCCAAAGGCTGGCCTTACTCTCCCCTTTACATGTTGGGGGGAGGTGGCTAGCTGAGCATGCTCTTCACTGTTCTGTCATCTGGCCAGCTTACTTGTCCTGATAATTCTGTCCACCTTTGGAGTCTGGAATTACAAGTGAACCTGCCACACCCTCCCAGCTTACACTTGGGCTTGGAGGACCTGAACGCCAGTCCTGACACGGGGACAGCAAGCGCTTTCTTTCCCCAGTAGGGGGCACCGCTCTCGCCCTGGACAGGCCATGCTTTTTACATAGATTCCAGGGACCCAAATCAGGTCCTCATGCGTGTGTGTGTGTGTGTGTGTGTGTGTGTGTGTGACTTTACCAACCACACTGTCTCCCCAGCCTCATGTTAACGTTCTTTTTTTGTTTGTTTGTTTTTTCGAGACAGGGTTTCTCTGTGTAGCTTTGCGCCTTTCCTGGATCTCACTCTGTAGACCAGGCTGGCCTCGAACTCACAGAGATCCGCCTATCTCTGCTTCCCAAGTGCTGGGATTAAAGGCGTGTGCCGCCACCACCCAGCTTTCAATTGAATTTTTAAAATTAAACTAATTTTAAGTACTGGGAAAGAGAACAGGGTCTTAGAAGACAGTGAGTCTTTCAGGATTTCACACACTACCTCTTTAAAGATTAGCTCCACTCTAGCTAGCTCTAGGGGCTAAGCATTTTGTCAAAACCCTGATTGGTGTCTTTGGGGGACATGGGCTCTCACATGGCCAGCTCTGGTTCAAAATGACGGTGTAACTAAGGAAATCTCTGAGTTCGAGGCCAGGCTGGTCTACAAAGTGAGTTCCAGAAGAGCCAAGGCTACCTAGAGAGAGAAAAACACTGTCTTGAAAAACAAAACAGTCTAGCTGAGTGGCCACAGGTGGAACTCCCTTTGTAATCCAGTGTAATCCAGATGCCTTGCATTCACCATCCTCCTGCCTCAGCCTCAGCTTCTCAAGTAGTGGAATGGTAGATATGTGCTCTTTGAGTGGCTTCAAAATCTATTACTTAGTGCTTTTTTCCCCCACCTCAGTGGGTATATGTGTATAAAACCTCTGTTTTTCATTTCCCTCTCCTCTAAACCTCCTTTACTTCCTGTCAAGATTTTTCCCTCTTCCTTTCCTTTTCCTAAAAAATATTTTTTATTATTATTTCAAATTACGTGTGTGTGTGTGCGCGCGCGTGTGTGTGTGTGTGTGCTTATATGTGATATATGTGTGTATGTGTGTGTTACTGTCCCATTGTTGGATATCTAAATTATTTCCAACACTATACACAAGTATATGTGTATAGTATATATCTTCTAGATGCACCATTATCTATCATTGTTTTAGATGGGGGAGGGGTCTTGCTATGTCACTCTGGATGAGCTCAGGTTGACCTTGAATTTTCACCTCTTCTCCCGGCGCTGCCTCTGGGTGCTGGATCTGCATCCGGATGCCCCCAGGCCTGGCTTATCTTCTTCAGGCCGTTCGTTCTTATTTTTTTTTTTTTTTGCCTTCTTCATACATGTTGATAAACGGTCCTCCCCCACAGTTGTCCACACCTCCGTGACCACAGCAGCGCGTGGCGTTGTGGCACTGGGAGTCCAGCACTGTTTTTACCCATTTCACCTGTGGATCCACGTCTGTACGGACGTCTGTTTCCTGTGAACCGTGCACAGAGCCGGGAGCACCCCCCCTCCCCCCGCAGGCTGCACCCCCAGCCTGCTGCCATTACCGCTTTTGTCATAGCAAGGCTGGCAGCTGGCTCATTGTGATGCTGATGAGGTAGCACCTTGACGTTCTAAAAGATTGTTGGGTGTGAGTGCTTCAGGCCAGGAATTGTCTCTTCACCTTTCCTATCACATTTGGAGTCAGAATTCCAATACTGCACAGTTGAAGCTGCAGTATGTCTGGCCGATAACTTGGTCTAAGGCATCCGTATTTGTCATTTTCGTCTGCTTAGTATACTAACAAGGTGGAAAAAGCAGTCCCAGTCCCTCCGAAAGGTAAACCTCTACTTTTTTTTTTTTTAAAGTACTGCTAGTGTTTTAAAACTAGGGTGGATAAATTGCACTATGTAAGTGTACACTGAGAGCCTTGTGAAGTATCCTGGAGAATGCATTGAAATCCAAAATTAAATAAAATTTCTTTCTTATGAATAAGGGGCAAGTGCACAGTTGGGATATTAAATTGTTTTCTTAGGAATAATGTCGTTTTAAATGATACAAAAGTGGGATCTTTAAGATATTTTAATTACATATCTGTCATCACAAAAGAAGCAAAAGAGCATCTGTTCTCCTGTCTCTAAAGCTCTCGAATCAAAATGATTTGCATTTTGTCTCATCTCAGTGGGAACTTCTATTTACTGTGTTACTATCTCAGTAACTTTTTTTAAGCACGTGGCTCCAAGTAGTAATGAAAAGCTAAGAAAGGTTAAAGATTTGAAGTGTTCTGGAGGGCAAAATATCTTCTGTGTGTCCATTGATCCAGATTCTAACAGGGATACACAGTGAATATAAAAGTCACTTTTAATTAAACAATCTTATCCTAGGGCACTGAGTGCTCACTTGTCAGGAGTTAGTTTTGCTTCTTCTTGTGCCTTTTCTATGGTCTGGCATCACTTGGTAATTCAACACTTACTGTATGGAAATGGAATATCCTGGGGATATTCTCTGGGTCAACGTGAGCAAGGTTTGCGTTGACTCCCGGTGATCGGTGATCGCTGAACAACTGACCGACCGAGATGTTTCTGTTGAGTGTTCTTGTGAGCACTGCCCTGCAGATGGCTTCTCACTTTCCCCCTCTCATTCAGAAGCAGCTTATCTATTTTTTTTCCGACTGCCTCTTGCAAGCCCCCGCCCCCGTAGCTGGATGCCGGCTCAGCCCCCACACATTCAGGCCTATTTATTCCCGTAAAGATAGTGACACTCGGGGTTTATTCTAAGACGAAATCCTCGCTGCCCAGTGACTAAGGACCTAAGCATGCACACTGCCCCTCCGCTTACCCTCCTAGCCAGCTTGGCTACTCACCATCTTTCTTTCTTTCCCTCAGAATCCCCTGTTTTGGCACACTGCAGTTCACACACGCCTGCCAGGCCACTAATTGATTTCTGAAACCTGACGTTTGTTTTTTTGTTGTCTCCCATCTTCCCCAGTGGTACAGGACTACTCAGCAGGGAGGAATGTGAGGAACTAGAAAGTTCAGAGTAATTGAGGATCTGTCCATTCACACTGGCTGGCGGCACGCCAGTGTAGAACCTGGAAAATCTGAAAAATATTTGTCAAGTTTTAACCCTTCTTGGGGAGCGGATGGGGCAAGTTGTCAGCAGGGGTGTTTGTCTTGGTTAAACACGTTCTCCATATGTTTAGAAGAGCATGGCACACACCTTGGGCAAGGATTACATTCCAATTTCGGTACTATTGTACGGGGCTGAGCTAGTTATTTTCTGTGAGATTGCTCGGCGGGGGATTTGAGAGGAACCATTACTTACTTAGAAGTGGCAGTCCTCTTTCCTGAATCTTTATGCCAGAAGTGAAATTTAAGTAAATGCTGCCATATTTGAGCAAAAAGTAGATATTCAAGGATTTTAAAAACTGTAAATGCATCAGCTACGTAAACCAGGCCAAAGCCAGGCTCACATAGACATTCTCTTTAAAAAGTGGGAAAATAAAAAGCAGCAAGGCTATAAAACTATGATCTTAAGAGCATGTCAGATAGTTTTGTGGGCTTTTGTTTCTCCAAAATGGAAAGCCTTGTAAGGAGAAGCATGTTAAAAAGCTAGTGTGAAATTTAGAAGGATTTCCAGTAATATAAATGGGTCTCCTTGCATTAAAAGTCATGGCCCACCGAAACTGTGGTGACCAAAAAAAAGGGGGGGGTAATCTAGATAGGTTTAAAAGCAAATTAAAATAAAAATAAATACAAGATGCCTTAACTTTAAATTGGATTAAACTTAAAGGGTAAAAGAAGAAACATTCTGTTAAGAGCTATCAATACCACATTCGGTGGTCTGATCATATTATGAGCATTAAGCACTGAAAGTCTTCCAAAGATCATCTGTTGTTAAAAAGTTAAATCCGACACCAGCTCTATGACCTGTCTCTGAGCTATGTGATCGCATGATTGGGTTTAATAACAGAGAAAAGGAGGCCAGATTTTTAAAGATGAAGGCTGGCCACACGAGATTGCTCACTGAGAGAGAGCCCTAGGTGCAAAGACACTTAATAAATAACACTCTGGTATCATGAACGCACTTGTCACCGTCCTCTGAAAGCGGCAACCACAACTATAAAAATGAATCATTACTAACAGGAAGGAAAAGGGAGAAAAGAAATCGAGTTCACAGTATGATTTTATCTTTGCTGAAGAAGAAAAAGGCACGTGTGACTTTCTGTGCGTATTTTTTTCACTTACCTATGTGCTGGAAAGGAGACCCATACCTCTGGTACACTCTTTGAGGTGCATTTTTCCCCCTAAAAACTTTGAAAGTGATGGTTCACTCTGAAGTAGTCAGTGTGCCCTCTATAAGTACCCTGCTGTAATGTGCTGTCAACATAGGTACACATGTAGTAATAAGAGCACAGACCTTTTTTGTCAATTTATTGTTCCGGCTTCCCAATAAGCCACACAAAGCCATGTACAAGAACACTAAGGATTAAGGAAAATAGTTTCCTTTGGTCATTGCTGGCAAAAATTTTAAAAGTTTTTTTAAAAAACAAAACAAAACAAAAAAAACAACAACTCACCCTCCATTAAAACAACCTAGCAAATGGGTAGCAATATATTTGCCTGTAACGTTCCCAGTTTTCAGAGCCGTTGAGTGTCTGTGAATGTTTGTAGCTTCTTCGGTTCCCGTTTCGTAGGAAAAGGTGCCACTGTATTTATTAGGTAGATGGGTTATGAGTCTCATCTGAAAATATTAAACTCCATTTCCCCCCTCTGGAGACTACAGTGCTAGCAAAAATAAGCCAAAGATGTAATGTCTATTTAAATACCCGGTTGAGCTGGCTGTTGGTTCTCAAATTAGATTCCACGCTCCGGCTAGAATCAACATGGTTTAAATATTAAAAACTTCATAATTCATACGGCCAACCCCACCTCTTCCCCACATACGGCGACGGAAGGTAGAAATGTCTGTGAAAACTTGTAGCTACTTAAATACCGCAGGGGGAAATATGCCCAGGTTGGTATGCAAGGACTTGAAAAAATGCTTGACATTATAGCTTTTATTCAGGCCGTAAGGGATCTGCCAAGGATAGACAGATCCACTGCTAAAAACACAGAAATGAGAACTCTTTTACATTTGCTACTGCGCCGCCCCTTGTTTTCCTCTCAAGTACGTTTTGTATACTTAAAATCACACACTCATTGGACAAGACTGGAAAACCTCAGCCCCCAAGCTAGCCGTCTTCTGTCTTCAGCTTCAGATCCTTGCACAACACCTAAGACGTGCAATACTTTTTTTCGCCCTAATCCTGGCAGAGAACAGTTCGGAGAGATCTCCCTCGGCGCCTCCACCCTGATTCCCCCTCTTCCTAGATTCCACCCGCTCCTCTCTTTCCCTCCGCCCAGCCCTGTGCTCCGCCGGCCCAATCTGTCAGAGAAGTTGTGTACAAACTGCGCCGCAGCCCTGCGCGCGAAGCTCATGGCCCTCGAGGGGTGCGGTCGGCCCGTCGGAGGCGGGACCTCGCGGGACTTCCTTCCCATTGGCTAGCTGCTGGCCCTGGAGCCTTGCTATTGGCCAGCACGCTGCCAGTCGCGTGAGCTGGTCCTGCCTCCCCGGAGTTGGGTGAAATAGAGGCGGGCGTCAAGTGTCAGTAGTCGCGGGGCAGGTACGCGCGCTCGCAGCTTGCTGGTGGAGCTCGGAGGTGGCGGGAGCGGGTTCCGGCGAGCGAGAGAGCTCTGGGGCGGGGCGGGAGAAAGTGGCGGCCGGAGGACCTCGGCGGTGACGCGTGGCCGAGCCCAGGAGTCCCGATCTACGTGCCCGCCTTCGCGAACCGCTGGCCGCCGGCCCAGGGGTTCCCCCCCGCAAGCGGCCCCGCGCCGAGTCCGCCGTCCCGCGCCAGCCCGGGCGAAGTGGGAATCGCGATCGCTCCGTGCCCCGCGCCTGTAGTCCCCCGATCGCCCATGGCCACGCGGGTGCTGACCATGAGCGCCCGCCTGGGACCCGTGCCCCAGCCGCCGGCCACGCAGGACGAGCCGGTGTTCGCGCAGCTCAAGCCCGTGCTGGGCGCTGCGAACCCGGCCCGCGACGCGGCGCTCTTCCCCGGAGACGATCTGAAACACGCGCACCACCACCCGCCTGCGCAGCCCGCGCCGCCGCCAGCCGCCGGCCCCCGGCTGCCCTCGGAGGAGCTGGTCCAGGTAAGCCGAGCGGCCGGCCTCCCTCCCCGGGCTCGGGCGTGTCCCGCCACTGCGAGGCGCGGGCGACAGGGGCCGCTCCAGGCTGGGGCACGCGGGAGCCCGGTGCCCGGGTGGGCAGCCCCGCCCTGCGCTCTCAGACGGGGCGCCGTGGAAGTGGATGGGGGAGCAGGGCGGGGGCCCAGCTCACCCCGATCTGCCCAGAGGAGGCTAAAGACAGCCGCGCGCTCACGCGCACCTTGCCTGTTTTCTTGCGTGGGGATGAAAGCTTGTATCCACGCTCAACTTGACTTAAATTGCTTCACCTTGACCGCTCTTTCCCGATGGCCCTGGCTTAAGAAGTCCACCTGCCTGCGTCCTCTGGGATGAAGTAGAAATGCAGATTGGAGTACTGGGGTTTCATACCCTAGAATGGATTGTAGGGCCCTGTTTGGGAAACTAGAGTCAGAAGATCTAAGGTTGTACTAGAACACTGCTTTTTTTTCCTTAAAAAGAAACACGCGCACAAAAAGGCCAGGGGTGTTGTTTTCTTGGTGTGCGCGTAAATTTCCTCCCGGAGTCGCGTTGAAAGCTGGCAGTTGGCTCTTACACTTGCCCAGCAGCCGAATTAGAGCAAGCGCCTGTTTCTTTCGC